ATTTTATTATTTTTATAAAATAAATATAATTTATTTTTTTTATACATACGACATGGATGTTAAATTGAAGCTCATCAAGATATAATTAATTTGATATATTATATATTAAAACTGATAAAAGATATAAAAGTTATTAATTTTTTAAAATAAATTTACAATTCAATGGATATAATAAGAAATGATATCAAAATGCAATTAATACATGTAACATGATCATAAATAATCAACATATTTATGGATAATTCAGACCTAATTATTTTGGATTGGAAGTCAATTAAAAATCATCCCAAGCCTAATAACGGAACATGTAATTTTACCACATAGGATCCTGAAACATGTGAGTCTGCCTCTTAAACTCAGCACGTTCTTAATTAATATATAGAAAAATTTAATAATGAATAAATTGAAATGACTACTTCAACAAAGATATTGAGATTTAAGTGTAAAGTCGTGCTTGTTACGATGCAAGGAAACTGAAGGGCCCATGCCTAGACTTGGCCAAATGACGGGCGTGACCCATCCCGGTCTGGCGAGTTGATGGGCCCCAATTTAATGGCATATAACCGACCCGGCCATTTATATGGGCCAATTCATTGAACCGGTCCTGAACCATCGGGCCACCGACCAGTTTGGACTCGGCCCGGCCCTAAGAAAAAACAAAAGAAATTACAAAGGCTGCCCGCCTTCAAACACGCGACCTGGCCCGGCCCGGCCCGGCCCATCGGGAAAACAAATTTTAAAGAACCAAAACCGACTCGTATGGCCACGGGTTTTACAAAAACCGGAGTGATACGGGCCGGGTCGGCCCTTGGCCGTGTCTACCCAGACCCGCGTCAAACAAGTGAACAACATAACATAGTGAATGATATGGCTAAAGTTGGGTCAAATTGATCCTATAAAAAAGAGCTAAAGTATCACTGATGGGCTTAGCCCATTATAGCCCATCCATAAACTGAAGGCCCTACTAGTAAAATTTAATTAAGCCCAACGAGTTGTTCTAAAACTTGTTCGAAGATAACCTCTTGATACATTGCAACAAGTGGAGCTGCTAAACAAAAGGAGTCCGTGCTCAAGTTCATTTAAAACTTGTTCGATTTATCAGCTCAGCTCGAAAATAATAGCATTCATTTATTTTTCTATTGTTCGACACTGAAACGCTCGAATTCTGTTTATTGATAATAATAAATAAGTTTAGCCCGAGTTTGTTTAGGATATTGATTGATTTTTTATTGGTTTTTTGGTTAACTATAGTTAATTTTTGAAAAAAAAAATCAGTTTGGCTAGCTGTCAGTGAGAATTAAGTTTAAATTAAAATAAATAAAATTGATTTGATGTAAAGTACGAGAAAAATAATTAGAAGTGATAATCAGTTAAAATTATGTTAGTTGATAAATAATTAAATGTAAGAATGATACATATTGATATACAATTTCATTTATTTTCTTGGCACAAGGAATACTTCTTTATAAATGGGTGATACTAATTATTAGTTTCAAAGCAAGTACCCAACATAGAGCAATGCTTGGCATTAAAAAATATACTTAATAACATAAAAGCAAAGAAGAGAACACACACTGAAAAAAGGGGGGAAATTCCAACAATGGTTAACAAACACACATTCTAAATTTCATTTTTAGTCTACTATGTTGACCATTTTCTGAAAAAGATCCATCATATACGGCGTCATCAAGAATGGTCCACTAAATTGTCAATTTCATCAAAATTCATGTAAAAACCAAAATAGTGTACTAAAAAGTGACGATTTCGAAATTTTTCCCACACATTAGCCAAACATCCTAAAAGGGATTACAACTTTCTTGATATTGTGGAAGTATATGAATTTCATTATAAGAAAATGCTACGTCCGTTACGAAACCATTTCATCGGGGTTCATAACTGTTAGATCATCTATCCCCGACGGTTACATGATGATTTAACAGTTACGAATTCTGACGGAATGATTTCGTAACAGAACCGTAGCATCTCCCTTCATTATATCTTCTCCCCAAATTATAGAACATTTGAAAAAAAAAAAATTAAATAAAAAAATATGAGAATACAAAATCCAATCAAGAATCCAAAAAAAAAAAAACTCTCTATCAATGTACTACACATAGCAAGACTAAACACTAGAGTTGTATGATTTTGGGGCAAGAGCTTCTTGTGTGAACAGATTTTTGTCCTTTATTGCATGTTAGTCATTGTTCAACACTAGTTTTTATAGACAATAGCTGCCAGTAGCCACAGTTTCCCTTTTCCCTTCAATTTAATTTAATTTTTTTTTTTTTTTCACCTTGCTCTGAATAAATATATTATTCATTTATTATTTATTTATTTATTTATTTGGACTGAAAAATATATTATTCATTTATTATTTATTTATTTATTTATATTTTCAGTCCATGAAAAAACCTTTGCTATCTACAGTCTATATGACCACAACAAGGCCATAGTCACTTTACTGTGTAGCTACAAGCCTATACAAGTGTTTCATCACAATTTATTCTCTCATTGGTAAAATTTCACCACCTTCCATATAGCTATGTACAATTCATAAATACCTATATATACACCCAAAAAAAAAAAAGGAGAAATTTTTATTAAGTGAAATTAATATTATTTTTCTTCTTTATTTTTATTTTTATTTTTATTTTTGCTGCCATGGATCTCACTAGCAGCAAGTACTTAGAATCACCTCCAACCTTATTTCCATCCAAAATGGTAATAAAAATCTTCATTCTTGCTGTAATAATTTCTTGATATTCTCATTCCATACTTGTAAAAAAAAAAAAATTTGAACAAAATATTTCACAATTTTGGGTATATTTTATTTCATCTTTTATTTATTTTTTGGTCCCTTACTGCAGGAAGCAGCAACAATTGAGAGCAACAAAAACCCATTCTTGGACTCATTTTCAGACCCCTTTTGCAAAGAGACCTCAGATTTTGTGAGGGGCCTTTGTGAAATTACACCACAGAATGGGGTCCCAAGGAGAAATATTAGCATGGAAGCCCCTATGACCCCTGGGAGGCCAATTTTCAGCTTCAGCAGCAGCACAAACTACTCAAGAAGAAAATGTTTCCCTTCAAAATGGGATGATGCTGAGAAATGGCTTGTTGGTGGGAGCTCTTGTAATGATTATTCCCCAGCTGGTAATAACAACAACAACAACAACAAAACCTCGGAGTCCTCAAAAGTGTACTCCAAGCAATGCAGTGGGTACAAGCCACCACAGGTGGGTGAGTTTTTTGCTGAGAAATCAAGAATTACTACTGAGGAGAAAGTGTCTAAAGTGATTTCAACTGGTTTTAATCAAGATGGAGGTGTTGATGATGGGGCTGCACTTTGTGCTTCAACAAATCTACTTGCAAAAGGTTAGAAGATTTTTTGTTGTTGTTGATTATGGCTCACGAGCCGAGCTCGAGCTCCTTAAAACTGGTTTTGTTAACGAGTCGAGCTCGGCTCGATAAGGCTCGAAAAGAGAATTTTTACATAATTTACTATAGTTTGTCTCGTTAAAGCTCGAGATCGGCTCGAACTCGACTCATTTATAGGGATAAACGAGCTTGATTTCTTACTAGTTCATTAGCTTGGCCCGGCTCGTTGACAGGTCTAATGAATTGTATCTAACAATGCAGATAAATTCCCAAATGAGTTAGACTCGGACGGCCATTCGGGCCCGATGCAAGAGAAATTCGTATTCGGTAACTCGTCGTCCCGTAAAACAATCTCCAAGCACCGAGACGTGGGCACGGAGATGACCCCACTTGCTAGCTCGACCACCTCAAGATGCCCGACCCCTTTCGAGAGCACATCCCCTGCCAGGCACAACACCCCGGCCGACCGGTCAGGCCCATTGGGCCCAAACGACGACGAGCACAGCAAATCAGGCCTTAGCCTGTTGAAGGGCAGTCATTTGGCGAAGCTGCATTGTGGGGCCCAATTCGACTCGGCCAAGTCCAACTGGTGGTCGAGGGAGGAGGAGGAGGATGACGTGTCCAAGAGCCTGAGGCATTTCGAGGCGACGAGCGGAGGCGAGTGTAGGATTAGTGAATCCGAGCCGAAGAATTTCGTGTGGGAAGAGGAGGAAAATAACAAGATTTGTCTTAGGTAAGTTCTTGTTAATTTTTATTTATTTATTTAATTTTTAGAAGAATTTTGAGTG